TTGTATGTTTAAGTTTTTCTTTGATCTCTTTGGGATACAGACCTAGAAGTGGTATTTCTGGGTTAAAGGGTATGCACAGCTTTATAGCCCTTTGGGCATAATTCCAAATTGCTCTACAGAATAACTGAATCAGTTTACAACTCCACCAACAATGCATTAGTGTTCCAGTTTTTCCACATCCTCTCTAACATTTGCAATTTTCCTTTTTTTTGTCACATTAGCCAATTTGATAGGTGTGAGGTGGTACCTCAGAGTTGTTTTAATTTTCATTTCTCTAACTAATAGCGATGTAGAGTATTTTTTCATATGATTATAGACAGCTTTAATTTCTTCTTCTGAAAACTGACAACTTATAAATTGGGAAATGTCTCACATTCTTACGAATTTGATCCAGATCTTTATAGGTTTGAGAAAAGACGTCTTTACTGCAGAAACTTCTAGTAAAATTCCTTTTCCCTATTCTCCCCTACCAGTTTCCTGTTTTCCTTCTAATCTTGGCTGCATTGGTTTTGTTTGTGCAAAAACTTTTAAATTTAATGTAATCAAAATGATTCATTTTATATCCCATAATGCCTTCTACCTCTTGTTTGAACATAAATTCTTCCCTTCTCCATAGGTCTGACAGGTAAAATTTTCCAAGCTCCCTTATTTTGCCTATGATATCACCATTCATGTCTAAATGTTGCACGCATTTTGACCTTATCTTGGTGTACAATGTGAGATGTCCATCTATACTTTGTGTTTGTCAAACTGTTTTCCAGCAATTTCTGTCAAAGAATGAGTTCTTGACCCAAAAGGCTGCATATTTGGGTTTACCAAACACTAGATTACTACGGTATACTGTATTTACTACTATTGTGTACTGAATTTATTCTACTGATCCTCTACTTTATTTCTTAGCCAGTACCAGGTTATTTTGATGACTGTTGTTCAGTCATGTCTGACTCTTTGTGACCCCTTTTGGGGTTTTCTTGGCAAAGACACTGGAGGGGTTTGCCCTTTTGTTCTCTAGCTCATTTGACAGATGAGGAAACTGAAGCAAAGAGGGTAAAGTGATGTGCCCAGGGTCACAAAGCTAATAAGTGACTGAGGCCAGATTTGAACTCTGGTCATTCTGATTCCAGGTGTGGCATTTCCACTTTGCCATCTAGCTACCCCTTTTGATGATTACAGCTTTTTAACACAGTTTGCGATTGGGTAATGCTGACCACCTTCCTTCACTTAAAAAAAAAATTTCCTTGATATTCTTGACCTTTCATTCTTCCAGATGAATTGTTATTTTTTCTAGCTCTATAAAATAATTTTTTGATATTTTGATTGGTATGGCACCAAATAAGTACATTAACCTGGGTAGAATTGTCATTCTTCTTATATTTTCTGGGTCTACTAACATTTTTCCAAATTAGAGTAAAAAGTGTTTTGCAATTGTGTTTATATAGTTCCTGGGTTTGTCTTGCCAGGTAGATACCAAATATTTATATTGCCTGCAGTTATTTTAAATGGAATTTCTCTATCTTCCCACTGGACTTTGTTGGTAATATATAGAAATGCTGATTATTTATGTGGATTTATTTTATATCCTGCAACTTTGGTGAAGTTGTTTATTATTTTGACTAGTTTTTAACTTGATTCTCTAAGTATATCATCATATTGTATGCAAAGAATGGTAATTTTGTTTGCTCATTGCGTACTTAAATTCCTTCATTTTTCTTTTATTGCTATAGCTAGGATTTCTAGTACATTTTTGAATAAAAGTGGTGATAATGGGCATCCTTGCTTCACTCTTGATCTTTTTGGGAAGGCTTCTAGCTTACCTCCATTGTAGATAATACTAGCTGATAATTTTAGATAACTACTACTTATCATTTTAAGGAAAGCTCCATTTATTCCTGCGCTTTCTAGTGTTTTTAATGGGAATGACTTGTATTTTGTCAAAAGCTTCTTCTGCATCCACTGATACATTTTTGTTGTTTTTTCTTATCAATATGATCAATTATGCTAATGTTTTCCTGATATTGAACCAGTTCTACATTCCTGGTATCCCACCTGGTCATAATGTATGGTCTTCATGATATGATGCTGTAATCTCCTTGCTAGTGCTTTATTTAAAATGTTTGTATCAATATTCATTAGGGAAATTGGTCTATAGTTTTCTTTCTCTGTTTTTACTTTTCCTGGTTTTGGTATCAGCACCATATTTGTGTCATAAAAGGAATTGGGTAGGACTCCTTTGCCTATTTTTTCCAAATAGTTTATATAGTATTGGAAGTACTTGTTCTTTAAATTTTTTTGGGGGGGGTGTATGGGTATTCAAGAAAGAACATGCTTGGAGAGGTCGGCATATTTATTGGCATATAATTAGGCAAAATAGCTTCTAATAATTAATTTCATTTTCATTGGTGGTGACAGCACCCTTTTCCTTTTTGATATACCCTATTTGGTTTTCTTCTTTCTTTTTTAAAATCAAATTAACCAATGGTTTATCTACTTTATTGTTTTTCCCTCAGAAAACCAGCTCTTAGTCTTTTTTTTTTATTAGTTCAATTGTTTTCTTACTTTCAATTTTATTACTCTCTCCTTTTATTTTCAGGATTTCTAATTTGGTGTTTGGTTGGGGATTTAAATTTGCTGCTTTTCCAGTTTTTTTAAATTGCATGTCCAGTTCACTGATCTGCTCTCTTTTTTACTGAAGTAAGCATTTAGAGATATACAATTTCACATAAGTACTGCTTTGGCTCTATTCCATAAATTTTGATATGCTGTCTCATTGTTGTCATTCTCTTTAATGAAACTGTTGATTGTTTCCATAATTTGTTTTTTGACGTACTCATTCTTTAGGATTAGATTTAGTTTCCAATAATTTTTTCATCTGCTTCCACAGCCCTTTATTGAATGTAATTTTTATTGCATTATGATCTGAGAAGGATGTGTTTACTGTTTCTGCTTTTCTGCATTTGGTTGTGAGGTTTTTATGCCCAAATAAACAATTTTTGTCTAGGTGCCATGTACATCTGAGAAAAAGGTATACTCCTTTCTGTTCCCATTAAATTTTCTCCAGAGGTCTAGCATATCTAACTTTACAAGATTCTATTCATCTCCTTAAATTCTTTCTTGTTTATTTTATGGTAAGATTTTTCTAGTTCTGAGAAGGGAAAGTTGAGATCCCTCACTGGTATAGTTTTCCTATTTTCTCCTGTAACTCATTTAACTTTTCCTTTAAGAATTTGAATGCTATGCCATTTGGTACATACATATTTAGTATTAGTAATACCTCACTGTCTATGATATCACTTAGCAAAATGTAGTTTCCCTCCTTATCTTTTTAAATTAGGTCTATTTTTGCTTCTGCTTTGTCTGAGATTGCGATTGCTACCCCCACTTTTTCTTTAACCTCAGCTGAAGCAATATACATTCTGCTCCATCTGAGAAGAGTTATTAGCATCTGCTTTGCTGTTGTATCTAAGGACCCTGGGATTTTTTTCCATTTGACTCGAAAATGACACTTTCCATGTGTGTCTTCTCCCTCATTGGAATGTGAGCTCCCTTGAAAACAGGGGCAGTTTTACTTTTTATTTATATCCCCAGAGCTTAGCAGTGTGCTTTGCACATAATAAGTGTTTAATAAATGCTTCATTCATTCATTCATTCATTCATTCAAATTCTGGGGAATTGGAAGTAACAAGAAATATTAAAGCGTGGGTCCAGCTGAGCTAACCTGGCAGCCCTAGGGCTTTTCAGTACAAGGCCCTACAAGGTTGGGAGCAGAAGAGGGGTAGGGCATCGGTGGGTCAGGGCTGGGCACTAAAGTCAAGGAAAGAATGCCCATCCCCAGGGCTTGGGAAGGAGAGCTGAACTGGAAACGAAAAGAAAAGGCGGCGGCAGCTGGCAGAGGTATGAAGCTAGAAGGGCAAAGCATGAGCCATAAAATCTGTCCAAAGCCGGAATGCTCGACGTAGACTACACCTGGGAGTCCCGCCCACTATCCAATCCTGAAACTATAACTCATTTGATAGGCAGCTCTTCTCACCAGCCACCTCCTTAATCACTATAAACACTCCTTACTCTCTCCGGTCTAGCGTTCGGCCCCCCCCACCAAAGCCAATCAAAGGAATGGGCGGGGATGTCCCCCTCCGTCTGCGTCAGTTTAAAAAAAGGGGGGGGAAGAAACTGACACAGAGAAGACTAGAGAGAGAGACGCCAGAGACAGAGAGACATAGAGAGAGAGAGACAAACACACACAGACACACATAGAAAAAAGAACCTTTGGGTCTTTCTCGGGAGAGTGAAAAACACTTCCAGTTCTGTAGGCGGAGCGCCCGTGACCGACAGGCGTGTGCTGCCAATGAGCTGGCCCGGACGCTCCGCAGACCTGTCTCGGGAGCGGGCGGGGCTGGCACCGATCTCAGCCAATGACGGCGGGGCGGGCGGAGGTTTGGCTGCGGTGGGTAGGGTTAGTGTGAGAGGTGCGGCCGGGGGAGGTAATGATGATGGTGGTGGCGGAGGAGGATGGGGGGGGAGGGGGTGCTGGTGACTGAGCAGCAGCAGCAGTCGCCGCCGCAGCAGCTACTCCAGAGGGGGGCCTGGGGCGGGGGTGGGGGGTCCGACCATTGGGCGAGTCCCTCTGGGGAGAGGGTTGGGGGCTGAGGGGCGTTCTCCCACCCGGCCGGGGCGGCGTGGGGCTGCGAGACCCGGGGGCCGCCCGTTAGCGCTGGCTCGGCTTCGCCCGTTCCATGTGGCTCCGGCGGCGGGGATGGAGGACGCGGTGGCGGCGGCAACGGCGGCAGCAGCGGCAGCGGGAGCAGCAGCGACAGCAGCAGCAGCGGCGGCGAGCGAGGAGCGGCGCTGAGGAGGGAGCGGGGCCCGAGCCGGAGCTGGAGCCGGAGCCGGCAGCGCAGGCGCGGCGGGACCAGAGGTGTGAGGAGGGGCGGGACGTGCCCCTAGGGGTGACAGGGACGGCGGGCGGGCCCGGGGCCCGAGGCGGCTGGAGCGCCCGGAGCTGCCCGGCCCGGCCTGGCCCCCTTCCTGCCGCCGCCCCCTGGCCCCTTTCTGCCGCTGGAGGCGAAGGGAGTATCCGCTCCCCTCTGTTACGCTGTCACGCTGAGGCTGGGGGCGAGAGCCCGCGGTGGGCGCCGGGCCTGGGACCCTGCCCTCTCTCTGCTTTCTCCCTGCCTCGTCCCTCCCTTCCTTAATTTCGTCTAAGCCCGTATTCTGGGAGTGAGCCGGTGACACGATTAATTATTGCCCGGAAGACACAAAGAGTTCATTTTAAGCACCCTTCCTCCCCCTTCACTTTGGGGGGCGGCCGCCGAGGCCCGAACGCGAAGCGGCCTCTCCTGGGCTTCCCGACTCGGGCTTGCCCTTAGGGTGGTTTGGCCGCGACTTGGCTCTCTCGGGGTTGGGGTTGGCTCAGTGGTGTCGACGTGTAGATGTTGCTCAGTAACCCTCTGATACGACTGTATTCCTGTCTTCCATCGTTGGTATCTTTGGCTTTCAGCTAGGGCATATTTAAACAAAAACCATGAAGGACTAGGACGATGTCAGTTGCAAAATCATCTAATATTGAATACCTATTCTCCCCTCTCCCTTCCCTTATTTTCTTTCATTATTTTTTTTGTCTTTGTTTTGCTTTCCAGTCCTACAGATTACACATCATAGAGCCCATGAGGAGGAATGATGATGTCTCCATGAGGAAACCTCCTTCTCACTCATACAGTCATGTGTATCATGTTGCTGGCTGTGCCATTCATCTGAGGTGGGATTTACCCTGTGAAACAGGGAGAAGAATAATGGACCTTAAACATCGTTTCAAGTTGTAATTCACTTTTCAAAATACAGACTCAGAAAACAGGGCTTCCTAGCTTTGGATACCGTGCTCTGTTAAAGCTGCTGCATTGCTCTCTTAGAGGTGTTACTGTACACTGACTATCATCATGGCTTCAGTTTGGAAGAGACTGCAGCGTGTTGGAAAACATGCCTCAAAGTTCCAGTTTGTGGCCTCCTACCAGGAACTTATGGTTGAGTGCACTAAGAAGTGGTATGTAGTGCCTGATGGCTGGATGGTACAGCCGAGCAACTCCCTGTTCAGATAGCACTTTTGCCTTTCTGTGTCTAAGCAGCTGGGTGGGGTGCCAGTAAGTTCAGGAGTGTGCACTGATGCTGTCCCTGTGGTTTTTAATTATTGTGTTCCATGGTGCTTATAAGGTTTTTACTGTAGCATCATACTGTAGGTTTAGCAGATTTGGACCTTAAGGTTTTTAGCAGGACTGGGATAACTTCATTTTTATATCTTCAAAGGAAGACAGGATTTGCTAATGAAAAGTTAATGACTGTGCAAGGAAAAGTAGAATTTCTGTGGGATGGTGATAATCTTTTTTGTTCAGGGTAAATAGTCTTCCTTAAAGATGAGGTGTTCTTCCTTGTGTGAGTAGGGGAATATTGGAATTTATAACCTTAGAAATGGATTTGTTATTTGCTTAGGCAACTGTGTCATGTTTTAATTGCCCAATGGGACACATTTCTTGGCCAGACTGGAGGAAGCAATTAGCTGTGCACTAGTCCCTGATTTGCATCTTTCCTTTTCAGCAAAGTAAACTTCAGGACATACTTCTTATTGCCCAGAATACAACTAAATACATGTTACTATGTGGGAGAAAAAGTTAACTTTAAAACACAGTTCCCTTTGACTTTTCATTTATTACTCTGATTAAGCAGTTTTACTTTAAAAGAATTTATAGTTCACTAGGACTCTGATTTCTGTGTAGTATTCTTTTTTATAGCACATTATGAAACAAAGAAAATAACTCGTGCACTTTTGATATTTAGTATTTATAATGCTTGTATAGTTGGCACTTATTATAAATTATTTCTTGCATTATAAACACAATTACTTAAAGCTGTCCTTAACCCATTACCATGCTATTGTCCTTTTGAAAATTTTGTATTTAATATCTTAGACAGTATTATGCAATGTATTGCATAAAGAATATAGGAAGATAATAACATTTTTAGGTAATGGGTTAGTGTCATAACAATTTAATACAGTAAACATTCAGTTACCAGATGTTTCTATAATTCAGCTCAGCACTTGGAAAAATACTGAGAGCAGATAATCTTTAAAATATTTACATTTCTTAAGTGGAATTCTAACAAAAATATAAAGTGATTCTTCTTGAGTCACTGAATCTTTTTTTGTTGTTGTTGTTGGTTGCCAGTTTGCAGATAGCCTTGGGACAATTTTGTTGAATGGTATGTAAACTCATGAAGTTAGTTGGCAAGACCAGAGCCATCCTGCTTGAAAATATCACTGTACTTCAGTCTAGTAAAACGAATGCACTTGGAAGTATCTTTACTTTTTTCAGTCTAGTAAATTAGACCTCTAAGGTAGAATCAGGCCACATGACCCATATCTTTTGAGTTCGGCCTGTCACATATAGGACTAAAGAATCACAGTTGTAGTGTGTGAACATAAGAATTCTAAATGTCTCTTATCAAAATATGTTTTAAAAGCTTCTGGTATTAGTGTTGAATTAGAACAAATAGAAGGATAGTTTTAAACTCATTTTAAAAAGTAGAAAGTGTTTGTATTTGGTTTTCTTTGTCTTGTTTTGGTAGAGAGGGGACAGAGCTACATAAGGTATTTTTCTTTATTAATACTTTTCTTTATTAAAGAAATTTAATTCCTTGTTAGTTGATATTTTCAAGTGAAACCTTACTTATAAGAATAAGGGGAAAGGTATTAGGTATGCGTGTAAGAAATCCTTAATATTACATCTTCAGTATGTGTAATAGATTTTGCAAGGAATGAATTGATATAGTAGAGGAACAGTATAGTTCTTTGAAGGCATTTTAAGTCTTATTTGTTCTATCCAGGATAATCTTTGGAAGGTTTAGCAAAGTAGAATCTTGATCGAATTCTCATAGGATCATGGAATTTAGAGCTGAAAGGAACCTTAGAGATTATCTGGTCTAGCTCTCTTATTTTACAAATAAGGAAACTGAGGTCCAGAAAGATCAAGTAGTTGCCCAGTCATACAAGAGAAACTTTGCCTCCACATTATTTTGATTGTATACATATATGTTTTATGTAACATGTTTGCTTTAAGTAGAAGAGCACTAATCGAGAATCAGAAGTCTACTTTGATCAAATCCTTTTATATTGCCTCCATAGGGACCATACAAAAATTTGCCTATGCTAGAATTATATTGTAGCAAAACTGGGCAAGTGGATTTTTATTAGCTGGGACATAGAAGTCTTTTCATTATATAGAACTTTTTGTTGTAATAGTATTCAATCAATATTCTAGTTGTCACATGTGGTCATAGCATAATTGCAGATTAGGTCCTGACTCCCTTTCCCATTTCCTGTACTATGTGGTTCTTCTCTGTTCTGCATCCCAAAGACATGGTTTCTTCTTCTCAAGGGAACTTACAGGAGAAAATAAAATGGATTTAGAGGAACCATGACTTTTTAAAGAAAATTAAATAGCTGCTAATATAGCACAATGGATGATAAGAAAGAATGAATCAGTGAATCAAAAAAGTTATTTAATGCTCATTTTGTGCAAAGCACTGTGGATACTAACAGAAAAACAAACAATCCCTGCTTTCAGGGAGCTTGTGTTCTGATGGGGGAGGCACATAGGAGGTTTCAACTGCCTGAAATCCATGGTTCTTAGGGTCTAGCAGTGAAGCAGATGCCAATACATCTTTAACGCTTCTTCCATTGATAAAACCATATACATTTCTAATGTTGAACCATTTGGCAGTGCTAAGGACTTTTGTGATGAGAATTTTTCCATGTCTTCAGAAGCTATAGCTATAGGGAAAAAAAATAGACATTATAGGAAATGAAAGTAGATAATTGGGATCTAAACTGCAATTTCCTAAGACTAACGTGTCACCTAGAATTCTGTTCAAATTTTTGTTTTTATAACAAAAATTTCTCTGTAATGAAAAGATAGAGGTGTTGTAGGATTGTGGATCTAGAGCTGGAAGAGACCTCAGGGACCATAAGGTCTTCCCCCTTGTTTAATAACAACAATAATAATGGCTAACATTTATATAGTGTTTTCTATGTGCCAGACACTATGCTAAGTGCTTTATAATTATTTCATTTGATCCTCACAATAATCTTGGAAGGTAGGTACTATTATTATCTCCATTTTACAGATGAGGAAACTGAGGCAACCAGAGGTTAAATGACTTGCGCAGAGTCACCCAGCTAGTAAGTGTCTGAGGCTGGATTTGAACTCAGGTCTTTCTGACTGTAGGCCTAGAAATCTATCTACCGCATCACCTCCCTGCCCCCATTTTACAGATGAGGAAATTAAAGGCCAAGGGAGATTAAATAATTTAACCAGGGTCACACAAGTAAGTATACTGTCAGAATTTGAACCCAAGTCCTTTGATTCCAAAGTTAGTGCTCATTCCCCTGTATCAGAAGAAGACAGTAGGGAATGAATAGCTCAAAAGAACACATGGCAGGCAAAAAACTAATGCTGTTATAAGCTACATTAAAAGTGATGCATTGTGTTCCAGAGGTAAATGCTCTGCTATACTCATCTCTAGTTTGGCCTTATCCCGAGTATATTTGGTTAGAAGGACCTCAGAATTTAGAGAAGGCAGAGAAATTCTGGAATAGGTCCAGAAGTTGGTGATAAAGATGTTGAGAGCTCTGAAGAACCTGTCTTACAAGGATTGGTTATAGGAGCTGAACATGCCGAGCCAGGAGAAGAGAAGATGTAGGGGACACGTGACAGCTGTCCTATGGGAGAGGATTAAACTTGGTCGATTTGGCCCTGCAGGGCAGGACTAGATAAAGGGATGGGGAGTTTCAGAGAAGAAGATTTAGGCTTACATAGAATGGGCTATTTCAGAGACAGTGAGTTCCCTTTCGGTCCTTATAGTTGCTTGTTGAAGATTTTGTAGAAGGCAATCTTGGTTAGGCCTCTATTTTGGACTAAATGACCCACAAAGTCCTTTCTGACTCTTACATTCTATGATTTTATGAAGGTGAATGGAATAACTGGGGTGGTATAGAAAGTAAGAAAAGGTGGTTTGATGAAAAGAGAGAGGTAACCTATTAAAAAAAAAGGAAGAAGGAAGGAAATAAGCATTTATCAAGTGCCTACTGTGTGCCAGGCACTGTGATAATGAAGTGCTTTGCAAATATTATCTTATTTAATCCTCACAACAACCTTGATAGGGAGGTGCTATTATTGTCCCCATTTTACGGTTGAGGAAACTGAAAAAGATCAGGCAACATTCTTTTTGAGAGTGTGCTCTACAGTTTTTGGGAAGTGAGATGCTTTTAGGGGTGCTGTACAGTCTTAACTTCAAACTTCAGGATGTACAAACTTGCTGCCTATATTCTGAAATGAAAGCAACGCAGACAGCATATAGCATGGGATTCAGGAAGAGTTTAGGTATGTTAGCCGTGACCCACAGGAAGGTAGTAGGAGGTCAGTGTTTTTTCTTTCCTAAGGGGAAGGGGCATTTCAATGGGTAGGATGCTGTCACTAATACATTCTTGTCTAAGGACAACAGAATTTGAGCCAAGCAAGGAAAGTCAGGACGTGGCTGACAGAATAGGATGAAAGCAGAGTATTAGGAAAGCCAGCTTCTCTTGGATCTAGGATGTTAGTGAAACCAAGTGTACCTTTGCTCTGTTAGCTTCATCAAAGGATGTAGAGAGAGTGGGTTTATACTTTTATAAACTGCTGCATTCTCTGAAGCACAGAGTCTTGGCTTTTCCAGTGTGTAAACCCTAATCTCAGCTCTTGTGTTTTATCTTCCTGATTCTCTTTCATACTCTTTCCTCAACTCCAGCTACTTCTTGGTAAGGAAAAACTTCTTGAAGACTTTTTTCTTTTCAGTTCAGGTTCACATTTGCAACAGGTGTTAGCCATGGACAATTCTAGATTTGGTGTCTCAGGATGTTTGTTTTCTGAAAGTGTGAGACTTCTAGTTAACCAAAAAGAATGAAAGTAAGGTTTCATTGCCCACCCCTTTCTAGTAGATTTTTTTAAACATCTG